GACAGTAAGCATGCTTGCCTTTTGTTCCAAAGATCTCCAGGGAGACCTTGTTTTAAAACTATATTGGACAGTATGCAAATATGCCCTCTGCTCTAGAGGAAAATACTGTATTTTTCAAGGCTGCTTGATATAGAAACATCCTTCAAAAAGTAGTCTGGGGCAGAGAGAATCAATGCCTCTGCTTACAAAATGTGCAGAACTATGACACACATACTCAGAGAACTGTCTGCCAACAGTCACCTCCCTGGTGATGGCTGCTTGCCCCAACCGTTCACCCTCTTTCCCCCACAGGCCTCCTCATTGCCCATGTCTATCATTATCGTCGGTGTAGGACCAGCCATGTTTGAGGGTGAGTAGGGAGGGGTGTCCCTGAGTGGGACTAAGAACTAAGGAGAAAAGTGGGAGGGGGTCGGGTACTTGGGCCTGCCTCACAGAAGAGACAAGGTAAGATACCCCTGTGTGAAGCCTTGGCCAAGTCACAGACCTTCTCTGAACCTGTTTCCTTATCAGAATCAAGGCTGATGATAGTAATATTTCCCCTGGGGTTCCTGGGAGGACGGGCTGCCTGGGAGGCATAATAATAATAATAATAACTCCATAACAAAGCCTGATATCTGTAGGACTTGATCACAAGCATTAGGCATTCTTCTGATGACTCCAAAGGGGAGCTCAAAGGGAGGGGGCAACATGGGGGTGGGGCTGGAGAGGCCAATCAGCTGAGGGGTGTCTTTTCTGCAGCAATGGAAGAGTTGGACGGTGATGATGTGCGCGTGTCCTCTAGAGGACGCTACGCAGAGCGGGACATCGTTCAGGTAGACCTGATCTGGGAGAGGTTGTGGAGCTGAGAGGCACAGTGAGAAGAAGAGGCTAAGTTGGGAGCCACTCACACTTACTGCCTTCTCAGTCTCCTACTTTTTTCCCCATCACTCTTTCATCCTTTCTCATTCATTGAATACATCCTTTTTGATAAATAGGAAGGTTGCTGCAGCCTTGGTGCATCCATGGTGTAAGTCGGGAGGTCCCCAAGGCCCCTGCCCTCTAGTGGAGGCAACCAACAATAAATAATCACGCAAATAAATATCTCATTAGATTGTGATAAGTACTCCAGAGGAATAGCAAATGCCACTGTGAGAGCCTGTAACAGGGACCTAACATAGGTACAGTAGTCAGGAAACGGTTCTTTAGCTTGCCGAGACCAAAGGGAGCTGATAAGCATTACAGGGAGAGGAGCAGCATGTGAGAAGGCTCTGAGGCCCAGAAGAACTGGCCCAATCAACAAAAATGCAGAAGCTAGGGTAGCAGGATCATACTGAGTGTGAGGAGGGAGGCAAAATTTGGGGGTTTGTTATAAAAGAATTGGAAAGCTCTTGAAGGATTTTACATAGGGGAGTGAGATGGCATTTTAAAAGGATCTCTCTAGCTGCTGCATGGTGGGTGGACAGTAAGAGGGCAAGAGAAAAGGCAAGTAGACTCATTAGTGAGGAAGCCTTTGAAGTAGCAGAGGGCGGTGATAAAGATCTAGCTGGAAGCAGTGGGGAGGGAGAGAAAGTGGCAGGTTCAAAAGATATTTAACAAGAAAATGTTACAAGACTTGATGATTAGATGATGATGGGGAGTGAGGGGGGCTGTAATCCCAGCACTTTGGGAGGCTGAGGCAGGTGGACCACCTGAGGTTGGGAGTTCGAAACCAGCCTGACCAACATGGAGAAACCTTGTCTCTACTAAAAATACAAAATTAGCCGGGCGTGGTGGTGCATGTCTGTAATCCCAGCTACTTGGGAGGCTGAGGCAGGAGAATCACTTGAACCTGGGGGGAAGCGGAGGTTGCGGTGAGCCGAGATCACACCATTGCACTCCAGCCTGGGCAACAAGAGTGAAACTCCGTCTCAAAAGAAAAAAAATAAATAAAAATAAAACATAATTTTTTGAAAAGAGGTCATGGATGGATATATACATTTGGCAGTCATTAGGAAACAGATTTTCTTTTGTTTTTTTCTCCCTTATCAGCCCCTCTCCCCCCATACCTTATTTCTTCTTCTCTGCTCCCCAAGACCCTCTCCTAGGCCTCTCTCTCTTCCCAGCCCCTTCTCACAGACTCCTCCTCCTTCTTGCCCCAACTCCATCTCTCTGGCCTCCTCCTGTTCTCAGGATCCCTTCTCCCTGGTCCCTGCCCCTTTTCTCCCCTGATCCCTCCTTTCCAGTCTCCCTCCCTACCTCCTGGCCTGCTCTACTTCCTTCCAGGGAACAATTTTTAAAGTCATGGAAGTGTATGAAATCATCCAGGAAGAGAGCTGAGAGAGAGAAGGGACCAGGTTTAGAGAGCAGGTAGACCCAGAGGAATGGTGGTGGGAGTGGGGAGCTTCAAGAAAGGTAAGCAAGAAGCCAGAAAAGTGTGGTGTCAAGAGTGGGATGTGTCCAGAAGAATTATGGTCAAATGTAATGGAAAGCTAAAGAGAAGTCAAGCAAGATGAGGACTAAAAATTACTGTTCACTGGACTGATTTAGAAACACAGGGCCACTGACGACATCAGCAAGAGCAGTTTCAATGGCCTGTGTGAAGCCAAACTGGAGTGGGTTGAGGGTGGAAAAAAAAGTAGGTGGAGAGAAAGCAAATGTACAAAACTGTTCAAGATGTGGGGAGGGAGATACTATGATAGTTAGAAAGAGATGCTGGAGATCAAAAAACAAGCCTCCCAGCTGTACCCCCATGCCCTCTCTCCTGGTCATGGCTTCTCTCTTCTTGTCTGTGCCTGACCCAGTTCGTCCCATTCCGAGACTATGTTGACCGGTCGGGGAACCAGGTGTTGAGCATGGCCCGACTGGCCAAGGATGTGCTGGCCGAGATCCCGGAGCAGCTGCTGTCCTATATGCGCACCAGAGACATCCAGCCTCGGCCCCCACCCCCTGCCAACCCCAGCCCGACCCCAGCTCCAGAGCAGCCCTGAGGATTCCACATATCCAATGCCTCACAGTCTGCTCGTCTGCTCACCCACTGCTTCTGCTTTAAGCCAGAGGCACCTGGAACCCTGGACCTCACTGGGAGGACCAACTTGCAGGATCGATGCTGGCTGATAAGCCCTCCGCCTCCTTGCCTGCAGAGGGCCTGGCACTATCACCACCTCCCTGCCTTCATGCCAATAATAAAGCTGATCTTCACTCCACCTCTGTCTCATGCATATTGGGGATGGAAGACTATGGGACCCAAGGACTGGGGCCACATCAAGAAGGGGGAAACCAGGATGGCTTCAGCTAGATTCATCCCCATCCTAACACGTTCATCCAATCACTTCTTCATACATTCTTCAAAGACTTTAATAAGTGAAACTTGGTATGTTTTCCTCAGGAGAGAGGCCCACAGTTGTTTTTTTCTTTTTTCCATAAAATCCGAATCCTGCACATGGCCCAAAGTTTTCACCAGATTCTCAAACGAATTCCTGACCACTAAAGGAGATGACTTAGTATAACTCTGCTTTGATCCATTTATTCTGAGTTATTTTAATAAGGATAATAACAGATAATATTTTCTTTGAACATTCACTACATGTCAAACCGTGTGCTAGGTGATTTACAAGCATCACCTCATTTAATTCTCACAACTACTCTGTGAGAACAGGTACTATATATTATTCCCACTTTACACATAAGGAAACTGAGGCTCTGAGAGGATGAATCATTTGTTTAAGAGAATTCATCAGTTTGACTTCAGATTCCAAGATCTTAATCAGTAAACCTCTTCCTGGCATGTCGATTTTATTGGGATGGTTTTTAGAAAACAGACATTTTAGTGGGTCAAATGCAAAGTTTGCATTAAGATCAGAGAGAAGCTTTCAGATGCTTTGGACTTTGTCCCAGAACCCTAGAAGACCCTTTCACGCTCCTCTTTGATGACAAAACTGGAGTATTGTTTAAGGATGTCTCCCCTGCCATCCAAGTTCTCTGAAACCCTCAAGAGCTAGCAATAGAGTTTTCGAGCTCTGTTTTACAAATAAGGAACTTGAAGAACTGAACTTGCCCACGTTCACATTGCTAGGAGGTGGCCCACTCACATTAAATCAGTTGTTTTGGCACCATCTTCCAACCAGCAACCCGCAGCACATCCGTGCCATCCCACAGAGTTCCCGCCGCTTTACCAGACACAAGCCCTTTCACACCCACCGGCCCCAAACCAGCCCCTTCTCTCAGACCCATACCTTTTCTCTAGCACCTCTCCTTTACTTTTCCCGAGTTTCTTCCCTTTCCTTCTGTCACGCCCCGTTATCCCTAATCGGTCCCGCCCTTTCCCCACAGCTCCGCCCGCTGCCTTCCCAAGCCCCGCCTACTCCCTTCAGCCTCGCGTCGTTTTTTCCAACTCTGTTCTTTATTTCTAGTCCAGCTCCACTTTCCAGACTCGTCCAAAGCTCCTCCCTTTCTCTCATGAGTACTCCTCTTCTGTTTAACCCCACTTTTTACCTCGCTATTCTAACAGGGCCCCCGCTGTACAGTAGCCCCGCCCCCTCCTCACAAGCCCCGCCCCACAGACCCGTCTAATCTCCAGCCCCGCCCCGGTCCTACCCACAACTCCCGGTCCCTTAGGCTCCAGCTCCCATCCCTCTTGCTCCCGGCCCTGCCCCCAGTCCCGCCCCGTGACTCTGGCCCCGCCTCACCGCCTTCCTCCGAGACCAAGGCCAGGTCCCTCCCGCAGCCGCGGCGCCAGCAGGAGGCAGGGAGCGGAGAGGGAGGAGGCAGAGGGGGAGGGGAGAAGGGCGGGCTCCTCACCCCCAGCCCCGCGCTCACCGTCCGTGGCTGCAGATTCGCCACAAACCGCCCGACGACCCCGGATCCCGAATACGGTGACTTCAGTCTCCAGAAACTCCACTCTAAAATGAGAGAGCTAGAGAAGCCCTGTGGGGTGTCCAGGGTCCTTTCCAGGGTCCAGGGTCCGTCCAGAGAACGGTCTTTCGAGCCTCAGCAGGCGGGCGGGGATCCGTGGCGAAAGTGCAACTCAGCAGCGCCGCGGAGCCACGTTTACCCTGCGCAGACGCCGTCGCCGCCGCTGCTGCCGCCGCCGCTGCCACAGCCTTTGCCGCCACGGTCTCCGCCGCCGCTGTCCTCGCGCTGCCTCTGGGAGCCTCCATTGTTCCAGCGGCGCCCGGTCCCGAGACCGGGCATCCTAAGGGCTCGCGAAACGGGCGGCTGCCGACGGAGTTGAGACCCCAGGGCGCCGGCGGGACCGGGAGCGGCAGGGGTCAGCGCAGGAATCCCGGGGAGCCGGGACCAAAGCGTGGGGCGGCAGGGGGCCGAGGTGGCGAGGTCTAAGGTCTCCGGAGTTGGGGCTCCCCCTTCCCGGCCCGACTTTCCCCGCCGGCCTCCCCAAGTGGGGTCGGAGCCCCGGCGGGCGCCCCCGGCGATGAGCCCGGACTCGAGGTGGCCGGTGAGTGCGGGCCTGGGACCAGGGCGGGAGTGGCCGGCAGGGAAGGGGTAGGCTACGTTCGTGGGGCGCGCACTGAGCCGCGTGGCCCGGGAGCCTCTCTGGCAACTCCAGCTGGGAGAACTGACAGTGCATTGCTTCCCAGCAGGCATCCCGGGGCAACAGTATGTCTTTCGGGGCTGCCCTGGCCAGTGGCAGGAGGGGAGCCTTGTTTCACTTGTTACACTTCCACAAAGGGGAAACGCCGCCGCATCCGGAGAGTGGGCTGCGGGCACTGCCGGGGCCCAGCCCTATCCCTCCGGCGCCCGCCCCCTACTTCCTCCAGCCCCCTGAGCTTCTGGGGCAGATGCAGCCGCCATTCTCCTTGGGCCCTCCCCACGGGCTTTCTGGTCACAGTTCTCGTCTCCGTCGCCTGTGCCTCTGCTGCCGGGTTCCAAGGGGAGATTGCCGGATTCACTGTGCTGCTTTGGGAGCCATTCACCCGGGACCCAGCTTGGAAAGAGGAGAGCTTGTTTGTGCTTCGGTTGGTTTGTGTTTAAAGACACAGCCGCAGGTAGGAAGTAGAAGAGAGTTGCAGTTGGACGTGTAGCGTTACTGATGTGAAAGTCAGGAGCCGTTGACAGAAGAGCTGGAGCAGCCCACTTGCCTGGTTAAGGCACAGGTGGAGAGGCCAAGAGGGGTTATTTTGTCAGGGAGCTCATGATAGCCCTGCCCTGCTGGGATGGTGCCAAGCCCCTAGCTGAATTGTTGAACTCAACTAGGCCGAGAGAAATTGGGGCAGTCTCTGACCAAGCTGGGCTTCCTGAGGCCTGGTGCCATCTGCTGTCTACACTCACCCAGGAATGTTGGGGAGGGGGAAGGGAGGGCCCCTGCGGACCACCGTGGAGCTGAGCATGCCTAGATTGTCGCGTTCGTGTTTGTACCCTTAGGGTCTGGCACTTGGTAGTCACTCAGTTAATGTTGCGTGAGTGGGTGAAGAACTCAAATGTAATACAGGCTGCTGTCACTGACTAAATGATCTCAGTTTTCACTTTACTTCACAGTACATCTCCTACCCAGTTCCAGGGCCAGGCTCCCCATAAAGACCTCAAAAGTAAATGAATTCTTTCTGTGATCCAGTGATTTCTGCAGGAGTCCAATGCTAAAGCATTGGCCACCCATTCAGCCTTCTACATGGCCTTCATCCCATCTGAGCTCTCAATCTGGTGATCCCCTCATTCAGCTATTCGTTCAACAGGTCGTTCATTCGTTCACCAAAAACTGAGTGTCCACTGCATGCTAGGTACTGGGGATACAGAGGTGGATAGGCTCTCTTGTCTTTACTACACAGCTCCCAGTACAGAGGGGAGACAATTTTCAGTATGTCAAGTGCTGTGGTAGAGGTGAGAATGGAATGCTGTGGAAACAGCTCCCCATGGGAGAGTCAGGGAAGTTGTGTCAGAAGTGACATTTGAGCTGGTTTTTTGAAGAACGAGTAGGAGCCTACCAGTCAGAAAGGATGGAAGGCATTCCAAATAGAGATCATTTTGCAGGAATGAGAGGTTATAACATTCAGGGAATGGTAGGTTCCCCTGTGTAGACAAAAACAGCTGTAACTTGTAAAAAGAATCAGGAAAGGAGGACTAGGGCCGGAAAGTGAAAGGAGCTCTTTGAATGGCGTTATAGAGAATTTGGAATATTATCTTGAAGGAACTGGGGAGCATCAGGAGGCTTTTAGTGAAGAGACTGTCATGATCATTACTACCTGGTAGAAAGATCACTCTCCTATATGATGTGAGATTGGGCTAGAGGAGTTGAGACATAGGGCAGGATAACCAGGCAAGAGGTGATGAGGGCCCAGATCCGGGCCATGGTGGAGGAGATGGCATTTGGAGACACTGTAGAGGTAGGCTGGCCAGGACCTGGTGACTCCAAGTGAGGGGGAGGACTGGAAAGACTGGGGTCTCTGGTGCAAATGGCCAGGAACTCATCCCCAGCCTTATGCTAACTGATCTGTGTATTCTAGATGTGACAGCATGGGGGTGGACTTTGATGTGAAGACTTTCTGCCACAACTTGCGGGCGACTAAGCCACCGTACGAGTGCCCGGTGGAGACCTGCCGAAAGGTCTACAAGAGTTACAGTGGTATTGAGTACCACCTGTACCACTATGACCACGACAACCCACCACCACCACAACAGACTCCACTCCGCAAGCACAAGAAGAAGGGGCGCCAGTCACGCCCAGCCAACAAGCAGTCACCCAGCCCCTCAGAGGTCTCACAGTCACCAGGCCGTGAGGTGATGAGCTATGCACAGGCCCAGCGCATGGTGGAGGTGGACTTGCATGGCCGCGTCCACCGCATCAGCATCTTTGACAACCTGGATGTGGTGTCAGAGGATGAGGAAGCCCCCGAGGAGGCCCCTGAGAATGGCAGCAACAAGGAGAACACTGAGACACCAGCTGCTACTCCCAAGTCAGGCAAACATAAGAACAAGGAGAAGCGCAAGGACTCTAACCATCACCACCACCACAATGTTTCTGCGAGCACCACTCCCAAGCTGCCAGAGGTGGTCTATCGGGAGCTGGAACAAGACACCCCTGATGCCCCACCCCGGCCAACTTCCTATTACCGGTAAGGCCACCTCTACCTTGCAGCTCTGGAAAACTGGTCAAGCAGGGCTCAGGAGCCAGAGAGGGGTGAGAGGCACAGATAGAAGAGTGGTGGGAATAAAGAATAGTGAAAGAACACTGAGTTTGCCAGGGCAGTGAGTGGAATGGTATCCTACTAATGGTGGCACTTACTCTACAGTGCCACACGCCACTCCTTTATTTTTTTCTCACAACTCTCAGGTAGATATTTTTCTCATTTCACAGATGAGGAAACTATGGTCAAGAAAGAATGCCAGATTTATCTTCTTTTTCTTTTTTTTTTTTGAGACAGGGTCTGGCTCTGTCACCCAACCTGGAGTGCAGTGGCACGATCTTGGCTCACCCCAACTTCCGCCCCCCGTGCTTAAGTGATCCTCCCACTCAGCCTCCTGAATATCTGCAACTAAAGGCGCATGCCATCATGCCCAGCTAGTTTTTAAAATTTTTTGTAGAGATGGGGTTTCACCACGTTGCCTAGGCTGGTCTTGAATTCCTGGGCTCAAGCGATCCACCCACCTCAGCCTCCCAAAGTGCTGGGATTATAGCATGAGCCACTGTGCCTGGCCAGACTTATCTAAAATCACATGCCAGTAGATAGCTGAACTGGGGTTCAAACCCAGGTCCTTCTGACTCCATAGCTGTACTGTTTCCACTGTGGCAAAACATCCTGTTTCTGATTCCTGGCCCTCTCCATTTCATTACTGAATGACCTTGGGAAATGCATCCAACTTAAGGTGTTTTAAGGACCCCATCTGCAGAGCAGATACAGTATTTCTCTGCCTCCCTAAAGGCATAGGATCACTAATTTCATAAGGTACTAAAACCACCTTGTAAATCTGCAGAGGTAATTCTCCCACTATTTGTTTTGTTATTGTTATTTGTCCTTTAACATGTTTAAGCGGTATTTTATGCTTAAGTAACATTTAATACTCCTCCAGTGGCCCTTTTATTTTTGTCATTTAATCGTTTGTTTAACATGAGGTAAAAGGTGAAGGGATGTGGGGGGCAGTGTGGTGGTGAAACTACATGGAGAAATCCTGGCTGAAGGATGGCACGAAAACCAAGTGTAAAACCTCTCTGAAAGTTGGCATCCAAGGCAAAAAAGGCATTCTGATGAGTTAATTTGCCAAGAGTGGTAAGTTTGTTGTCAGCTAATTAGAAGGCCTGATCTCTGAGGAGGATTTGTCATAAAGGCTTTTATATGAAAAGCATTTTTTACCAAAAATGCAGTCCACATGATGTTATTCCTCCATTCTTTTTTTCCGTTTTTCTTTTTTTGAGATGGAGTCTCGCTCTGTTGCCAGGCTGGAGTACAATGGCGCGATCTCGGCTCACTGCAACCTCCGCTGGGTTCAAGCAATTCTTGTGCCTCAGCCTCCCAAGTAGCTGGGATTACAGGCACGTGCCACCACATCCAACTAATTTCTGTGTTTTTAGTAGAGATGGGGTTTCACCATGTTGGCCAGGATGGTCTCGATCTCCTGACCTCGTGATCTGCCCGCCTCAGCCTCCCAAAGTGCTGGGATTACAGGCTTGAGCCACCCACTGCTTCTGGCCTAAACCTCAATTCTTTAAAAGCAAATCTGGGAACGCAAGCAGTATGGCCGGTAGCACTTTCTTCTCTCTACTATTAGAATTTAAGCCCATCTCCCTCTTCCTCTCCCATTCTTTCATCTTTTCAGTCCAATTCCACTTCCTTCTGGCTTTCCACGGTCTTTCTCTTTTCTGTTCACACTGACTACCATACCCACCTCTGCCCCACTCCTAACACACAGACCCCTCTTAGGACTTCCCCTCCCTCCCAGTGGCCCTTGAGCTCTCTGTGTTCTAACAGGCAGCCAAGTCCAGCTCATTAGCTGCTTTTCTTCCTCCCTCCACTTAGATTCACTCTTCTTTCTGGGGATCAGATCTGTTCTTTAGGGGAGCAATTTTCAGCAGGTGCACTGCAAACAACTGGGAGGTGTATTGCATGGAATTTGTTACCACTGTTGGTAAAACTGCCCAAGTTTTGGAAATGACTTACTTTCTATAGAAATTGAGAAGATTTGAGGTCACCTCTCTAATAGCATCACTTTCTTTTGCTTGCATTCTGATATGCTTCCTTGAGGGGGAGAGAGAGGGTGGCATGTCAGCTGGTGTGCCAGGAATTACACGACATGCAGCCTACCTTATCTGTACTGCAGCCTGTAATCTGGGTGCCTGTGGGAGTGTGTTATGCACCATCACATAATGTCACGTGTGTCATGGCAGAGAAAAGGGTGAGAATTGGTGCTGAAGAGAGCTGGTGCCAAGGCCTAGAAGAAGCCAGATGGTTCACACCATCCATGAGTCATACCCTTGTTCAAAGATAGGGATGTTGCAGTCACCTTGGGGAAGAGGTAAAGGGCTAAAAAGGAAGAAGCTGCTTCCTACAATGTTTCAGTCTCTCTCCTCCCTTCCACCCCCAAAATGCCTTTCAAATGAACAGTGATGAGTGCCTGTATCTGTATGGCGAATCAGACACAATCCCCACTTCTGTTGTGTAGTGGGGAAGTTAGACACATAAACAGCTATAATGCTAGGAAGATGGGTAAGGGCCATACAAAAACTAATAACATTTATTGAGTGTTTGCTGCACACCAGGCACTGTCCTAAGCACTTTACCTGCATTAACTCATTTAATGCTCACAATTGCTGTGTGAAATAGGTTCAGATTAGCATCACCACTTTACAGATGAACAAACAAGGCTCAGGGAGCTTAGCTCACTTGCCCTCTGTTAGACAGGACCCAGGCAGTATGGCTCCAGCACCTGTGTGTCCCGGCCCACTCTAGCAGCCAAAGTCCCATTTCCCACATGAGAGGAGAAACAGGAGCTAATGTTTTTCTAGGACCTGCTGTGTGCCATTTGACTTAGCTCATTCATTTTTAAAAACAACTTTTTAATAAAAAGATAAATGTTTATATTCGCACGCGTCTGTATGTGGTCACATGTGACTTAGTGGTTAGGTGGCATTTTACACCAAGGTGCTCACACTTCCTTCCGTGGGCCTGCTGGGGACTGCTGGAGCCTGATGGGGTGGTAGGCACCGGGCAAGGTACTATATAAATAAACGTAAAGGCCAAGAGTTTGTAGCCTATTCATTTTTATAATTCCACATAATCCTGACAGCCTCTTTGTGAGTAGGTAGTATTATCCTCATTCTGTCATCAATAAAACTGAGGTTCAGAACAGCAGTGATGTCCTGAAAGTCACAAAATGGCAGAGCCAGGATTCAAATCCGGTTTACTTAGAAGCCAAAGCCCCATTCTTTCCTTTGTACCCTGTAGTTCACAGTGCCAGAGTCTAGGCCACCTATAGCATGGCAGGCAAGGAGCACCTTCTCTGTGTGACAAGCACCTAGAGCAGCCCTTAATTCCAGGCCTGTTGGCACAGTAAGTGATATAGGGTGGACATTAAGAGCACTGGGGCTGGAGGTTGAATGCCTCTGCCTCTGCCATTCCCTTGTTATGGGACCTATCTGTGTTTTGATTAACTTCTCAAAGCTTAAGTTTTCTCATCTACAAAATGAGGACAATAAGAACACTAACTCTATGGCTGTGGTAAGAATAAATGTAATAGTTAAGCACAATGCCTGGCTCATAGTAAATCCTCAGTAAACCTTAGCTATTATAATTGTTATCTCCCAAGGCTATCCAGTGAACAAACATAGCACCTAGAGTTTGATGGAGCTTTGAGCTGATGTTGGCACCAGCTGAGAGAAGACCCACGGCAGCTCTAGTCGAGGCCCTGCCCACCAGTGCTAAAACAACTTGTATGTAATTTGTCAGTGACATCCAATGACCTTCCTTCTTCCCTGATTCTTCATACCATCATCTGGACCACTCCAAGGGGTACTAGCTGCCCCACCTTCCTCCTTTTAGAGGAGGCTGGCTACGCCTCTGCAACCCAAAGAAGATGGTGTCACATATAGCAGCTAGGACATGAGCTTTGCAGTGGCAGGTCTGGGTTCACATCCCAGCTCCACCACTTTCTCACAAGTGAGCTGGGGCCAGGCGATTAACCTTCCAAGCCTTAGGTTTCCTTTTCAGCAAAATAGAAATGATGATAGTACCTATAACATCTGAAGTTAAGGTGAGGATGAAATGAGACAACACATCTGAAGGGCACAGGCACAGAGTAAGTGCTCAGTGGCAAATGACCCACCTTCTTTAAGGGAGGGAAGTCTCAACCATGTGATGCTGAGCTCCCTGTGTGTACCATAGGTACATCGAGAAGTCTGCAGAGGAGCTGGACGAGGAAGTAGAGTATGACATGGACGAGGAGGACTACATCTGGCTGGATATCATGAATGAGCGTCGGAAGACAGAGGGTGTAAGTCCCATCCCGCAGGAGATCTTTGAGTACCTAATGGACCGACTAGAGAAGGAGTCGTACTTTGAGAGTCATAATAAAGGCGACCCCAATGCGCTAGTGGATGAGGATGCTGTTTGCTGTATCTGCAATGATGGTGAGTGCCAGAACAGCAATGTCATCCTCTTCTGTGACATGTGCAACCTGGCCGTGCACCAGGAGTGCTACGGTGTCCCCTATATCCCTGAGGGCCAGTGGCTATGCCGCCGTTGCCTGCAGTCACCCTCTCGTGCTGTGGATTGTGCCCTGTGCCCCAACAAGGGTGGTGCCTTCAAGCAGACAGATGACGGTCGCTGGGCCCATGTGGTGTGTGCCTTGTGGATCCCTGAGGTCTGCTTCGCCAACACGGTCTTCCTAGAGCCTATTGACAGCATTGAGCACATCCCACCAGCTCGCTGGAAGCTCACCTGCTACATTTGCAAACAACGGGGCTCAGGGGCCTGCATCCAGTGCCACAAGGCCAACTGTTACACAGCTTTCCATGTGACATGCGCCCAGCAGGCTGGCCTTTACATGAAGATGGAGCCTGTGCGGGAGACAGGCGCCAACGGCACCTCTTTCAGTGTCCGCAAGACAGCCTACTGCGACATCCACACGCCTCCAGGTTCAGCACGCCGACTGCCTGCCCTGTCGCACAGCGAGGGTGAGGAAGATGAAGATGAGGAAGAGGATGAGGGTAAGGGCTGGAGCTCAGAGAAAGTCAAGAAGGCCAAGGCCAAGTCCCGGATCAAAATGAAGAAGGCACGGAAGATCCTGGCAGAGAAGCGGGCAGCAGCACCTGTGGTGTCAGTGCCCTGCATCCCACCACACAGGTATGTGGGGAGCTGGTGGACCGGCAGGTGAGGGAGAAAGCCTTCTGGAGAGGAGCTGGCAGCCTCCTGAGTGGAATAGCAGGGCTGGGCTATCTTCTTCCCAGGAGCGGAATGTCAGGGCTGGACTATCTTCCCAGGAGCTGCATAGAAGTTAAAAAGAACATATTTTCAAAAGAGATAGTTGTCTTTAGCAGGTCACCTGACTTAAGAGCCAGAAATGTCAACTTTTATCTGGCATAGCTAACAGGTGTTTTGAACTGCCCTTCATTTTGATGGTGTGGTTTGTTAAGTTGGGATGGAAGAGGATGGAACTGCCACTGGCAGCAGTGGAAAAAGTGGTCTGATTATGAAGAAACAAATAGAATGAAAAACGGGGAAGGGGAAGCTCAAGAAGTTGTGAAGTGGTTACTGCCTCTCATGTGGGCTGTGATGGCCAGGGGTTTTTTCAGTTCTCTCGTGCCATTTATTTTGATTTACTATATGTTTCTGCTATACAGTTGTACTTCATCTTAAAACCTTCAAAGGCTTAGTCTCAGTGGGGCTCTCAGGGTCAAATAGTACTCTGGGCTGCCGTGACTAGAGCAGTCTTCGGGGCAGAAGTCCCTGATCCCAGGTATACAGGGTTAGGGATCTGGTTTAGTGATGGGAGCTTGGTTTCCTGTCTGCTGTGGTACCATTGATGGCACCACTCTTTCTTCCTTGCCTTAAGTCCAGAGTCCCAGGCCTTTTGGACAAGAGATACTCTCCCTTCATCCCCATTCAGGAACTCTCACTGGCCAGAGACCGTTGCTCTGCTTAAGAGAATCAGGGCCCAACAGGTTTTACTCTTTGTTTCCTGCCTCCCAGGCTTAGTAAAATCACCAACCGCCTGACAATCCAAAGGAAGAGCCAGTTCATGCAGAGGCTGCACAGCTACTGGACACTGAAGCGGCAGTCACGGAATGGGGTCCCATTGCTACGTCGCCTGCAGACACACCTGCAGTCTCAGAGGAACTGTGACCAAGTCGGGGTACTGTGTCCAGTTCCCTGTGGGCTCTGGGAACTAGGGCCAGGGGGATGAAAACCAAAATTTGCAACTGTAGTTTCCAGTGTCAGAGGGTTTAGACTCTTTCCTCCTTTAAGCTAGCCCTCAAGCCAGGATCAGCGTGGAATCCTCAGTGAAAGGATGTTGTTCCTATGTGTTTATGTATTCATTCAACAAACACCAGGCATTTATTCTGCCAGGCCTTGGGGACACACAGATTGAGGCACTACCAATAAATTGCTGTGCTCCCTCTTTTGGCTTGACCTGCCCTTGACCTGAGTTTCCTGGGCTCTCTTCTCCCTGCTGACCTTTCCTCTGGCTTTCTAATCATTCCCTGATCTTCCTTTTGCCTCTGCAGAGAGATTCTGAGGATAAGAACTGGGCCCTTAAAGAACAGCTCAAGTCCTGGCAGCGGCTCCGGCATGACTTAGAGCGAGCTCGGCTGCTGGTGGAATTGATCCGCAAGCGGGAAAAACTCAAAAGGGAGACGGTGAGTGATCCTGGGCCAGCCCTATTTTATAAAGGAGAAAACAGACCCAGGAGAAGGAAAAGTGTGTGTCCCTCAGCCAAATAGCAGCAGGGCTGACGCTAGAGTCAGGTCTCCTGGTTCTTGGTGTGCTTTTAAAAGGTCTACTGGAAGCAGAATGTCACAGGAGCGTATGAACAGAATCCTCAGTGACATAGGTAGTTGATGCTGGTAGTTCAAGAAAGGGGGAGACCAGAATCGTTGGTGCAAGTTTCTTGTATCTCGTAGAAGGTAGACCTGTATGAGTGCACCCAGCTGTGAGAGTGGGAAAGAAGGTGGCTTCCCAGGCCAGCTGGGACCATATCCTCAGATCTCTCTGCCACTGGACTGGCCGGGGCCTGGCTGATCAGGCCTTTTTCTGTGTTAGATCAAAGTTCAGCAGATTGCCATGGAGATGCAGCTGACCCCTTTCCTCATCCTCCTTCGCAAAACCTTGGAGCAGCTCCAAGAGAAGGACACAGGCAACATCTTCAGCGAGCCGGTCCCTCTGTCTGAGGTAACCGAATTGGACGAAGTAAGAATCCCTTCCCCTCACTCCACCTTCTCTCTGTTCCTCTCCCAATTGGACCCCTGCTGCAGGTCTGGGCCAGGGACTAGATGGGGACCTTGAAGAGAGGGGCTGGTGGCTCTGGGGCAGGATGAACTGGAGCCACATGTATCACCTGGACTCTGTCTTGTCCCTGTTACACCCCAAGGGCCCAGAATGGGAGGCAGTCTGCACTCCTTCCCCAGAGGCAGGGACTGAGTCTGCCAAATGAATAATCCCAGGGCAGGAAGACACTTTCGGGGTGCTGAACCCTAGAACGGAGACTTTAGAAGGCTCAGCACCTAAAGAACCAGCTCTGAAGCCCTAGGTCCTGACTGGCAGACTCTTCTCTCTAAAAGGTATAAAATGAGAGGTCTGAGGCAGCAGCCTCCTTATAAGTTACTGTTAAGTAAAAGGAGCTCTAGGAATGCAAGGTGGTGTTTATTTTCAGAGGAGTCCCCAAGCCATTTTCTTACTAAAGCCTCATGTAGTCTAAAAAGTATATTTGGCTCTACTTTCATGATTTTCTAGGAGAGGAAAAGTAGGCCCAGAGAGGTGAAGAGACTTGCCAAAGTCACACAGCTTGTGACTGGTAAAGTCAGGACCAGAATTCAGCTTTCCTTTCGCCTGTGCTATATGCCTGATTCTAACTGATGGGAGGAGGTTGCTGGATGTATTTCAGGGGGGCTTGTTAGGAGCAGGGTTCGGGGCAATGAGGAGGATATCTCTACTTAAAACAAACTTGCCCTGCCCTCCCAGGTACCTGACTACCTAGACCACATCAAAAAGCCCATGGACTTTTTCACCATGAAGCAGAACTTGGAGGCTTACCGCTACCTGAATTTTGATGATTTTGAGGAGGACTTCAACCTCATCGTCAGCAACTGCCTCAAGTATAACGCCAAGGACACCATCTTCTACCGGGCAGCAGTGCGACTTCGTGAGCAGGGTGGTGCTGTGCTCCGCCAGGCCCGGCGCCAGGCAGAAAAAATGGGCATTGACTTTGAGACGGGCATGCATATCCCCCACAGCCTAACTGGAGATGAGGCCACACACCACACTGAAGATGGTGGGTGATATGTCACACACACACATATAAGAGGCCAATGCCAGGGATGGACAGCTTTCCAAAAGTCCCCTCCTGGGAGCAGGCAGTGTAGGCAGAAAGCAGCTAGGCTGAGCAGTGGCACACTATCCCCAGGAATGCTCCCCAAGAAGCCAGACTGGGTGAATGGATAGCAGTGCCCATCATTCCACATCTTGGTGCTGCTATTTTACAGCTGTTCCTGGTGAGAAACCGAGGAGGGATGAGTGGGTTTCTTGCTGCCTGCCCAGGTTCAAGGGGCCCTGAGGGCTGCCCTGAGTCTGACCTTTCCCCTCCAATCTTACTCCTAGCAGCTGAGGAAGAGCGGCTGGTCTTGCTGGAGAACCAGAAGCACCTGCCAGTGGAAGAGCAGCTGAAGCTGCTTCTGGAGCGGCTGGACGAAGTGAATGCCAGCAAGCAGAGTGTGGGCCGCTCACGGCGTGCAAAGATGATCAAGAAAGAGATGACGGCACTGCGGCGGAAGCTTGCCCACCAGCGAGAGACTGCACGTGATGGGCCTGAGCGGCACGGCCCTTCGAGCCGGGGCAGTCTGACACCCCACCCGGCAGCCTGTGACAAGGATGGGCAGACAGATAGTGCCGCAGAGGAGAGCAGCAGCCAGGAGACAAGCAAAGGTCTGAATCCCATGGCAAGGTGGACCCCAAAGCAAGTCAGACTTTGGCTCTGCAGCACACACTCAACCCCTGCCATTCCCCAGGCAGAGGTCCCTCCTACACAGCTAGCTGTACTTTCTCCCTCATTCCCCAATCAGGGGCCTCTTAGCTGCCTCTCTGGCTCTTTGTATAAGAGTTAATGTTCCAAATTCCAAGCCCCTAAAATGATCTCCCCAACTTTAGCTGGAGTAATGACCCTATATACCCAGGGCATGACCCTGGATATCTACCTTTCTCAAATCAGGCCCCTCACCAACTCTCCTTCTTTCTTTCTCTGCTCCAGGCCTGGGTCCCAACATGTCCTCAACCCCCGCACATGAGGTGGGCAGGAGAACCTCAGTTCTGTTCTCCAAAAAGAACCCGAAGACAGCTGGACCGCCCAAGAGGCCGGGCCGGCCCCCCAAAAACCGGGAGAGCCAGATGACCCCCAGCCACGGAGGCAGTCCTGTGGGGCCCCCCCAGCTCCCCATCATGAGCTCCCTGCGTCAGCGCAAGCGGGGTAGGAGCCCCCGGCCCAGTTCGAGTTCAGACAGCGACAGTGATAAGTCCACAGAAGACCCCCCAATGGGTGAGCCTTACCATCACCCAGCGCCCCAAGAGAGTGAGCAGAGCTGCCATTCTTCCCAGCATACTCCCAGTTACCCCTTTATTTGCCCATAAAAGAGAGAGCTAGAAGGGCCCTTAGGAATCCTTTAACTCCACTCACTCATCTTACAATTGGGAAAACTGAGGCCCAGAGACACTATGACCCAGCTAGAGTCCCACCCAGGGCCCCCCGCCTCCATTGTATCACTTTACCTTTTCTCTTCTCACCTTCCTTGGGGATCTCCTACCCTTTAAGCCGTTTGTGTCCTAAAGCCAGTAACTGCCACGGGAAGCAAGGGGTGGGGCAGGGCTGTGGCCAACTGTGGTAGACACTGCCCAGAGCTAGCTCTGCTGGCAAAAGTTGGAGGAATTTTCCAGCACAGAAGGGGAACCCAAGCTCCAAGTCCCTCTTACCTCCATGTCATCTCTGATCTACATCTTCCTGACCGGTTCCTTCCCTCCTCCCTTTCCCTTCAACCAAGACTTACCAGCCAATGGCTTCAGCGGTGGAAACCAGCCAGTGAAGAAGAGTTTCTTGGTATACCGTAATGACTGCAGCCTTCCCCGGAGCAGCTCAGACTCTGAGTCCAGCAGCAGTAGCAGTAGCAGCGCTGCCTCAGACCGGACCAGGTACCAGCCCTCCAGATCAAGGCCAGCCTCAGGGGATGCCCTTCCAGGGCTCTTGGGCCTTTCTAGGTTTCCCTGTTGGAAGTGGGGTGGCTGCCATCTCAGTCTAGGTTAAGATGACTCAAACTCAAGGTTCTCTGTTAAATAAATCAGTGTTACCATTAATGGAACAGAGAGAACCATCCTGGGTTAAGGTGATGATTAGAGTATACACTCCTGCCGCCACTGCTCAGTCTAACGTACCTCAGGTCACCAGCCTAGCCCCTCTGGGTGTTTGAATTTGAAATTCCTCATACAGCCTCTGCTTTCCAAAAGTCTCAGACCCTGAGGGCTTTAAGAGCAGAGGGCACATACCATGCTGTTCCCCATTCTTCCCCTCCTTTGAGTTGAGCTCCCATTGTCTTGTCCACAGCACAACACCCTCAAAACAAGGCCGGGGCAAACCTTCCTTCTCTCGGGGCACTTTCCCAGAGGACAGCAGTGAGGATACCTCAGGCACTGAGAATGAGGCCTACTCCGTGGGCACTGGCCGCGGCGTGGGCCACAGCAGTAAGTTCCCTTGCCCAAGGCCAGGGATGCTGGGGACCCAGTGTCAGGGCCTCGCCAGCCCCCCAGCTGCTGATCCACCCCCTCTCCCCCATTCCTGTGAAGTGGTAAGGAAGAGTCTGGGCCGGGGAGCTGGCTGGCTGTCAGAGGATGAGGACTCCCCGCTGGATGCTCTGGACCTCGTGTGGGCCAAATGCCGAGGGTATCCATCATACCCAGCTCTGGTATGCTCCGTTTCTGTTCTTATGCCCCTTGCTTTTCAATCCCAGAATACAGATTCACAGTTAGCAGACTTCTCCTACTCCCTACTGAGCTATGGGGCACAGTTTCTTGGCAAGGTGTACTGGTGGGCAGATACAGCTTGAGTACCACTTAGAGGCTCCTACTCAGTTTCTCCATCTCTCCCTTTTCCTTCTCTTTGCTCCTTGGGTTCTGAAATAATGTAGCGTGGAAAGAAGCTGAGGGTCAGCATTGCAGTTCTGGTAGCATGATAACCTTTCTGTCCCCACTTCAGACGTACTCTTTAAGTTCTTGAGGAGGGCAAGCCTTGGGAGGACGTGGACTGAACCAAACTGGGCTCTTATTACACCCTCAGATCATTGATCCAAAGATGCCCCGAGAAGGTATGTTTCACCATGGAGTTCCCATCCCTGTGCCCCCACTGGAGGTGCTGAAACTTGGGGAGCAGATGACCCAGGAAGCCCGAGAGCATCTCTACCTCGTCCTCTTCTTTGACAACAAACGAACCTGGTAAGGAGGGGAGCATTTGGTGTGACTCACAGCCACAGATGCAACCCTGTGTGGTATGGAGGCAGACTGCCAGGAAACTCCAGCAACAGGCAGACTGGGCTAGCATAAGTCAGTGGGGGAGGGACTTAGAACAGTTTTTTGAGCAAAAGGGTTGTGTCGACCATGTGTCTGAGAGGCTGAGTGGGCACTAGAGGACAAACAGCTGTAGCTAGAAACCAAAGGACCATCAGAGACTATGACAAATATAGAGGTGGCTCCCACCCAGACTCAGATGGCTTCTAGACTTAGTTTTCCCACCTCTGCCTCCATGGTGACAAAATGAGGATAAAGCAGGCATAAACATTCAGGCTCTGAATCCCTCTTCTGTCATATTTGTACATGTAGTCTTTTTGTTAATTGTCTGCAGAGGATATTCAGTGTCAGTGAAGTCTGCCTAGAGCCTCAGGGTAACTACTTCTGGTGAGGTCAGGGCGCCTCCTTTTTGTACCCATAAATACCCTGTGATTACCCTCCCGCTGCCACCACACGGTATAACCGTTGACTGGGCTCTTTCATCTCTAGACCATGAGCACTCCTTTGAGGGCAGGGACCATCACAGAGTCTGCCCAGAGCGGGTGCTTGGGCGGTATACTTAAGTGAATAGAGGAGGAAGGCTGGTCCTTAGTCTCCCTGAGATGATTTATTTGATCTTCACCTTGTCCTATAGGCAGTGGCTGCCGAGGACCAAGCTGGTTCCTCTGGGTGTGAACCAGGACCTAGACAAGGAGAAGATGCTGGAGGGCCGCAAGTCCAACATCCGCAAGTCAGTACAGATCGCCTACCACAGGGCTCTGCAGCACCGCAGCAAGGTGCAAGGCGAGCAGAGCAGTGAGACCAGCGATAGTGATTGATACTGCTCAACACAGCCCAACCTACACAGGGTCACAGAACCCTGTGACCTCTCTCCTCCCCTTTGCTCACTGTCCTGGAGTGGCACCGGCCTCTGCACTGACTCATTTCTGGTCTTGGGGCCAGTCTCAGGGGAAGCTGGGTGGGGGAGGTCCCTCCTGCCCTAAGTGCAGCTGGACTGTACAGAACACTCCAAGGGCCAGTGGCAGTTCAGTGCAAGGAGAGGGAGGGCCCACAGGTCAGAAAGAGCTCCAGAGACCTCACAGCATTGTAGGGCGGGGTGGTGGGCCAAAGTTAGGACACTGCATAAAACAGGCCATCCCACCACCTCTACCTGCTCATGCCAGGAGAATCTATAACTGCCTAGAGGCCTGAGGCCCCTACCGGTGGTGAGGTGAGCGGGCATCTGTCCAGCCTGGAAGAGGGGCACTAGGTGACTCCCTCCCCTGCTGTTGTAAATAACTGTAATTATCGGAGAATTTAAATTATTCTCATTTGTAACTGCGTTTCCGGGTCGCGCCAGAGTCATTTGGTACTAAAAAAAAAAAAAAAAAAGACTGGGGCCTGTCCCCATTTCCCTTCTCTTTCCCATAGATTCCCCCACCTTTCAAACTGGTTTGTATTTATTTCAAAGGAAGAAAATATATTGATTCTTAGAAAATAAACTGTCTTTTTAGAATTCTTTGTTCTTCCCCCCTGCCAGGGCAAAGGGGATACACAGGGAGGTTCTGTGCCCCAGGGATGACACATAATTGGGCCCAAGTGGTTGCTGACTGCTGTGCATGCTACATTTATAAGACATAGCAGAGAGAGCCCCCGTTACCCATGCATGGAGTGAGTGGCAGGCCCTGTGCTAAGCACCTTTAGACACTCAGCTTTGCGTAATCCTTGCAATAACTATAGGGAGTTTAATAATAGGCTGGTTATCTCCACAAAGATGCTGAGGTTTCAAAAAATTATCTTGCCTACAGTTCCTACAGTTCCTAGTTCCTACAACTAGGAAGGTACAGAGCTAGAATTGGAACCCAGGTCTGTTTGCAAAGCTGGCTCTTCAACCAGTATGCTGAACTGCCAGGGGAAGAGTCAACTGTTGATTCCTTCTTGGCCCTCAGAGGCCTCAAGTCCTTTGCCAATGGCATGGCCCAAGTGTTTCAGCATCACTGCAGCTGAGACCTTCCCCACTGCTTAACCGGAGACAGAGCAGGGATGGAGAGGGTTGCTCTTTGCTCACTCCCAACCTCGGCACCTTCATTCCAGACTCCACCGACATTTATTGAAGGAATGCCTTCCAAGTGCTAGGCGCCTGTGGGGTGGCATGCCTACAGATAGGAACAGTCACAGGAAAAAGGGGCGGCCCAGACCTTGCAGCCACTGAGGAGTGGCACTGAGACAATGATGGCATTGGTCTGATGTTGATTCCATGCTCACGGTACACTCTGCTAGGTCTCTGGCTGGGATATAAGGGTCAATCCGCTGCAGATGTTGCTCTTTAAGAACTTGCAGTCTGGGCAGGGTGCAGTGGCTCACGCCTGTAATCCCAGCACTTCAAGAGGCCGAGGCGGCTGGATCACGAGGTCAAGAGATCGAGACCATCCTGGCCAAGATGTGAAACCCCGTCTCTACTAAAAATACAAAAATTAGCTGGGCGTGGTGGTGCACGCCTGTAGTCCCAGCAACTTGGGAGGCTGAAGCAGGAGAATCGCTTGAACCCGGGAGGCGGAGGTTGCAGTGAGCCCAGATCGCACCATCACACTCCAGCCCGGGCGACAGGGTGAGACTCTGTCTCAAAAAAAAAAAAAAAACCTGCAGCCTGACAGTTAAGATACAGCAACCCCAAATCCCTATGCTAGAAGGTGAGAATGGCCCAGTAAAGTTCCTATCTCTTAGCTCCCTGCTTTTTCACATCCTTCGCCAGAAGGGAAGACATTACATAATCCATCCTCCTGCTCCAGGCGGCTGGACGAGGCTGGCTGCCTCAGGGCCACACACTGGGACTTGGACTCAACCTGATGGGCTTCTGGGCCCAGCCCCAGACAAACCCCCGGCACAGGCCCTATTCTAAGGAAAGCATGAGCAGATGGAGTATGGAAGGAATGAATGCCCAAGACTGCAGGCAGCAGCTGTGGCGGCCGGCGGGACAATCCGAGGAGACGCCTCTGAAGTCCTGAGGTCTCAGAGGACGCCTAAAGGTCTTGAAGGGGACAAACTTAGCGGGCGGGCGCAAAAGAGAATACTCTGGAGACACTTCCCGAGGGCTCTAGGGCCTGAGCTGTGCTCGCTCCAGTTTTTGGTGAAGATAGGGTTCGTGGGAGGCGGCCCAAGGGGGGCGAACGCCTAAGACTGCAGAGGCTCAGGGGAGAACGGCTCTCGGAGGACAGGCTGGGAAAGGACGTGGCTCTGAAGACGGACAGCCCTGAGGAACCGCGGGGCGCCCGGATGGAACTCGTTAGCTCCCCAAGTGCAGACAATCCCGGTGGGGGAAAGGCCAACAGCGGGCAGACAGCCCAGTGCGCGCCGACAGCCCAGTGCGCGCCAACCGCGCGGGCGCCTCGGAACGACCCGCCCACCCTGATTTCTCATTGGCGCCTCCCACTTCCTCCTCGGATTGGCTACCTCTAGGTCAAATACGCAGTGCTTAAGCACTACTTCCGGTGGTGGCGTGGTCGGCCACTGGAGAACTCAGAAGAACACAGCTGTGCGCGCCCAGAGGCTCGGGGGGCGGGAGAGGATAAGTCGGAAGGAGGGGGCGGGACCTACACCTCAGGAAAGCCGGAGGATTGGGGCACGAAGCGGGGCTTTGATGACCGGCAAAGGGCGAGGCATGCAGGAGGTGGAGGAATTAAGTGAAACGAGGAAGGTCGTTAATCAGGACCCTGTGGGCTAGGCCTTAAGGGGCGTGGTCCTTGTCTGGGCGGGGTCTTTGGGCGCCGACTAGGCCTGGTTCTGGGTGGGCGGGGCTGCTGTGGGCGGCTCCTGCTGTGGAAATGCCGGCCCGCGCGCTTCTGCCCCGGCGCGTGGGGCATCGTACTCTAGCCTCCGCTCCTGCCCTGTGGGCCTCTATCCCGTGCCCTCTCTCTGAGCTGCGCCTGGACCTGGTTCTGCCTTCTGGACAGTCCTTCCGGTGAGTGACTGCGCCTGGAAAGCCCGTCCCCTGGGACTGGCTCCTGCCGCCTCAGCACTGCCCGGCATGGGGTACAAAGGAATTTGGGGGGTGATGGAAGAAACCCCGGGGTACAAAAGAGGAAACAAGCACGGGTGGCCAGGCTGTTCCCTTTAATATGTCTGTGCAGTGATATTGTAAGGATTTAGCGGTATAACCGATGCAGAAGATAACAGTACTTGTTTTTCTTTTTTTGAGACAGTGTCTCACTCTATTGCTCAGGTAGGAATGCAGAGGCCCATTCCGGCCTCGACCCCCGGGCGCAGCCTCCCGAGTAGCTGGGAATACAGGTGTGTGCCATGCCCGGCTAAATTTTTGTATTTTTTGTAGAGGTGAGGTTTCACCATGTTGCCCAGACTGGAAGATAGCACTTTTACTTGTATCAGTTTTGTACATGGAGCGATTGTAGGATGGGAGGGACCCCAAAGGGTGCAAGAAAGGAAATTGAGTACCAGGGTTGTCGTGTTCCTGGGGCTTAGGTGGAGGGAGCAAAGTCCTGCACACTGGAGTGGTGTACTAGCGGATCAAGTATGGACACTGACTCAGACTGAGGAGCAGCTCCACTGCACTGTGTACCGAGGAGACAAGAGCCAGCCTGGCAGGCCCACACCAGACGAGCTGGAGGCCGTGCGCAAGTACTTCCAGCTAGATGTCACCCTGGCTCAACTGTATCACCACTGGGGTTCTGTGGACTCCCACTTCCAAGAGGTGGCTCAGAAATTCCAAGGTGAGTACAGGACCTGGGCTGGGGTTAGGGTTCTTGGACATAAGTTACTTCTCTATGACACAGTTTTACCACCTGTAAAATGGGGATTATATCTACTTCATAGGCTTTTATGAGGATTTAAGAAACTAATACATGTAAAGTGCTTAGAATAATGCCAGGCACATAGTAATTATTATTATCATTATGATTATCCTGCTAATAACCATAGTGAAGTGACGAGGATTTTGAGCCCATTCGTGGTTGTGTGACCCAGGGCAAGTGATTTCATTCATTCTGTAAATATATACAAAGCATCTGCCGTGCGACTGGGGATACACCAATGAACAAAACGGACCCAAATGCCGGTCCTCATGGAGCTTACATTGTGGTCTCTTTATCTGTGGAATGGGATGGTAACTCAGCCCTTACAAGATGCTATGAGGAATGAGAGGTCTGGTGTTGCTTTTTTTTTTTTTTTTTTTTTGAGACGGAGTCTCGCCAGGCTGAAGTGCGGTGGCGCGATCTCGGGTCACTGCAAGCTCCGCCTCCCGGGTTCAGGCCATTCTCCTGCCTCAGCCTCCCGAGCAGCTGGCGCCCGCCACCACGCCCGGCTAATTTTTTTTGTATTTTTAGTAGAGACGGGGTTTCATCGTGTTAGCCAGGATGGTCTCGATCTCCTGACCTCGTGATCCGCCCGCCTCGGCCTCCCAAA